AAAAAAAAAAAAAATGTGGAACAATAGCGTCAAATGGTTTTATGTTTGACCAAGATGTCGTGATATCAATAAAGAAAACCGCTTGGGCGATGTATTAAGTTAATCTCCTCTGATAAATCAGGTCAACTATTAAATTCATCTATGACTAATCAATCACTAAATGTTTAAGTGAGTATCTGAATAGAGTATTTGACTATGAAACAAAGTATAGATAGAATGTAAGTAACTTCAAATCATTGTCAAGCTTCGACATTATAATAAGCTGCTTATTAAAGGTTTTTTTTTTAGTTTCATTTTACTATTAGGTCGACAAAGATCTCTCAGAACCCAAACCTCGAGGATTTTAACATTTTTCCATCTTACCTGTTACTTTTATATGCACCAATCCACATAAATCTTGTGAGTTTTAACATTTTAATACCTTGAGCTCACTTCTGTTGCACTACTATGTATATATTATGTCCACGAATAGTTTGACACTCACCCATCTAAACTTTATCATAACTTAACACTCTGACACTCATGTCTTTAAAGAGTAATAATGATTTATAATAACAAATTACGCCATGCATGCATTCGATTCTTTCAATTTTACCCTTCAACATATATTTCAAAAATATGTACTGTTGTTTTTTTTTTCCGTTAAATAAATTAATATCTTTATTTAGTTAGTTAAGTAAATCTCAGAAAAATTTATAATCAATTTTCGTGAAGTACTTATTTAAAAAACATAAATAGGACCAAAAGTAGTTTAGTCAATACGTAATACCAAAAAGAAAAGTGAAGATAGAAATATACATTTGTAAATGACTTATAGTGGGTAAAAAAAGTTTAGAATGGAATGTAGTTGTTAAGATGACAACCTTTTTTCTCTTACTATAACTAGTTAACCGAGTTAACTTATGTAGCAATGTTCTTCGGCTATGTTATAAGTGGGAACGTGATATTTTAGCAAGCAGCCGAGCACCAACAGCATTTCAATGCAGTAGATTTAACACTGAAAATGTGTACCCACAATTCCACAAATAGATAAATCAGACTACATTAGCCTCCTTTGATCACACCAACAACACGATAAGGCAAATCCTCATGTTAAACTTACATGGAAGGTGATACTGCCACAGAAACATTCCTTTGCCCAACAACTTTCAAGCCAGCAAGTTGCTTCTCTTTTTCTAGTGCAGCTTCCTTCTTAATTTCTTCAATGCTCTTTCCAGAGAGAAACTATACATGTCGAGCAGATTGGAAAAGCATTAGGCTGATATTGTGAACTTGTAATACAGGCAAACATAATTTTTCAGACAGTTCGATCAGCACCACATAAGATATATTAAGATATGATTGTTTCCTCCATCATCAATATAAAGCATCATCAAGAGAGATATTGGTTTTATAGAGGTCCTACACCAATGGTAGATTGATTCGTTGAATTCAAATTAATGTTTTAGTGACAAACAAAAGAACTCTAGAACTGGATATTAAAATGTATTGAACAACAATATACACTACAAGCCATGACTTAACATGTATGATAATAATTATGATCATGTCAAAGTTCAACTCACAGGTTTCTGTTCATCAATCTATCAACAATTCATGAAACACCATGTTACAACCTCCAGAACCAGCACATTTGGTAAAAGATTCAGCAACCTACTGATTATTCTCCTAATCAATGATGGAACATGAGAATTGTGGCTGCTCTTTATAACATCAAAACCAATACCCATTCCAAGATTTCTAAGTTAAGTAGTTAACTAATAATAAAACGAGAATCTGAATCTTACAAGAGAAGCCTATTCACCCCAAACCCAATCCCACCCACCTACCCACCTCGGGAACACAGTAAAAAGAAAAACAATTGCAAGTCTGCAACAGGATCAAAAAAATTATCGAGTAAGTATCATTTATCTGCTACTAAAATGCACAAGCAATGTGTAAATAAGTAGATGCAAACAAAACAAAACTAAAGATTTTCCAGTAGTTGTAACACTTGTCCCATTAGAAAACAAATATAGTGATTTGGGGAACATTAAGCGGTGGGAATCTCTTGTCGTCGGGGAATGAATAGGGTGCGCAATTCAATGGTCAAATTCTACAGGATCAACCTATTTAGATGGGAAACATCTCGATCTAAAACATTAATGGTGCAGTTTCCATCACAGATCTCTGCAAACCATAAAAGTTTGATGATCCACGATGGTCTACAGAACACCCAAAAGAATATGCACCGCCCCCCAGTAGATATCCCAGCCAAATGACAATTTCATTTCCACGCCAAAATAAATAAATAAATTATAAGATACACCCAGATGCCAGGATAAGCATCTTATATATAAGAAATTACATTAAGTTTTAAGTCCTAATATATAATTCTTTACATGTAGATAAGTAAATATATAAAAAGAGAGCCTTTCCCAGCCTATATATATATACAAAAAATGGCGATGGCCTCAAGAGCTTTTACATAGATGGTCTTGTAGCTCAACCATCACCAAAACGACCTCACAGGTACAGGATAAGCTACCTAGACCTACATAAGGATCAATTGATACATCCATCACTCCATTATAAATTTCCTATTCACTCATGTCCAATCAATTCAAACAAAACTCACAGCCCTCAATTACGAACTTTGAGTTGCACCAAAAAATGCAAACATTAGAAGACATCAGTTCTAGACTCCTAATTATCAACAAAATCGACAACAATAAATCACGAGTACACAGACCAAGAAAACTCGGTCAAAGGTCAATGTAATACAGTACCTCAAATTTATTCCTAAAGCTTTTGGGATAAACTAGAGTCCTAGAGTTTCAAAATGTTGTAATTTACTGGTCAAACACTAAAGTATCTTGTAGATAAACTTACCTTTCGATACGGCCACCGTACAAGACCGTTGTCATAGCAGACCTTTTTCAAAACACTAGGACAGGTACCTGTACAATGAAAATTCAAGAATTTTCAGTCACAGCAAAGCATACATGTGGAAGAAACTGATAAAGTAAAGGTGACTGCAAGAGCTAGACCAAACTTTGCAAAGTTCAAACAAAAGTTAAGAATAATGACAATGATAACAACGACAAACAATAACAATAGTTGCAATAATTTTTTTTACCTCCACACAATTAAGGCATCACAGATTGAGGCATCTTAAAGGAGTCAGCTTTACCCCAAAAGGGCATCCAAGAAACGATGCCAACAAAATTGGCTAATATTATCACAAGTTGCTTCACAAAATTGGTTAGCTCACCAACAGTACAGTTGATTTTATTACTTGAATACAATGATCTCCCCTACCCATTTAGACAGTGAGTTGGATCATGAAACACTACAGCAGCAACGCATCTTCTAATGAATGTTTTCATCAAACAGGTAAAATATTTTGCCCAGTGATTACCTTCTGCATTTCTTGCACCACTGCGAAAAAAGAAACCTATGCTCGCTAGCATTATTAACACGCACGGTTTTTTTCCACAATTTGGGAGATAGTGAACGAGACGTACCAAGAGAGTCGGCGGCGTCGGAGAGTGGACGGGAGAACAACTTGGAGACCTCCTCAAATGAAGGGGATTTTGATCCGGGAGCTGGATTTGGGTTCGGGCTCGGGCTGGGTGTAGGGTTCGAATGCGGTAGTATATTGCGATTCGGATACGGGTTTGGGCTCGGATTCTGCAACGTACCCATCGGCCGTTGCCCGGAATTTGTCAGCCCGAGAGTGAAGACGGGAAAAGTAACCGCTGCTTTGGAATTTATCGTTCAAGCGACGCGACGGGATAATGTGTAGAACCGTTTTTACCAGTAACACACCAGCTAACAAAACACGTCCTAATTGTCCGTAATATCAAACTTTTGATAATTTTAACCAAACTTTTAAATAAATTGAATAGCCTAATTTTGTCTTATGTTCGCAATCCGAACTCAAAATGAAATGATTGTCACAGTTTTGTCATCGTGTCCGTCAATTCAATTTATGGATTAAATTTTTGCTGACATGGTATATTGAATAAGACGTGGTAAAAAACATAAAAGAAAGCTATACTTAGTAAATTCCTTCTCCAAAATCATTTTGTGACCTAATTTTCCTACACTTGAAAATTTTTCTCCCTTACAAAACAACTGAAATTGTAGTCCCGTTGTTGTCGAATTTCAATAAGTGAAAGAGCTAACAAATTGTCATCCCATTGTAGCGGCCATGAGCGACATATATGTTCATCCTTCATTTGTTTATTTGTTCTTGTCTAAATTTCAAACGTTGCTCGTCGTTCGAAGTCGAACTTTGGTGATGTGGATCTGAGAACATTTGTTTGTTTGTGAAATTTTTAATGCATTGTTAATTATATATTAAATATTGCTCGATTTGTTAAATATAATTGTGAATTTTGACCTAGAATTTCGAAAGAAAATGTTTTTGAATTTAGGGTTCATCTAGAAATTAGGTTTCGATGAAATTAGAATTGCTTACAATTTTTTGTAATTGTAAATTGGTTTTGAAATTAGGGTTATGATGATAGAGTTGGGGTTGATGGTAAACATATGGATTATGAAAGAATTAGAGTTTATTTTATTCAATTAAATGTAAGATTTTTATTATTTTATTCAATTAATTGCAAAATTTAATTGGGATTGAATTTTTGAGCGGGATGTTTTTTCAATGTTTAATTGTAGAGAGAATTTCGCACTGTTTATTAATTATGAAGGTTATTTTGTGAACTGTGGGCATGTTGTGGAGTATCTAGCTGGTAGATTAAGGAGTATAGGTTAGATGTTGGCAGATTTGGCTACTTTAATCTACAAGAAGAAATTCAAAAATTGAAAGTTAACAAGTATGAAAAACTTGTTTACAAAATGCATGGTGTTGGTGAAGGAGTTGATGGTTTGAAAGATATAATTGATGATATTTGCATTATGGATATTACTTGTTGCAGTCATAATAAGAAAATTATAGTTCATATTTATGTAGTTGGTGGTGACATAATTGATGATAGGGAATAAGAAAATGATTTCAGTGAGGCTGGGGCATCATTTGAGACACAGACTACAAGTCATATGCAAGATATTGATGATTGAGAAAAAGAGAATGATTTGAGTTTGGTTGAGACATCAATTAAGGATGAGCATGCAAGCCATTTGAAGATATATATTGATGGTATAATAGACAAATACTTCCGTTGAAGTGGGTGAAGGTGATGCAGAAACTGAGAATACATGTGTTGGGTTGGGGTCACAAGAAGAAACTGAGAATGCATGTGTTGTGTTGGGGTCACAAGAGTCATCTAAAGATGAAGATTATTTTTCAACTAGGGCGAGTTCATCAGATGATGAGACATGTATGATGATCTTATCTCTGATGATGATGAATATGTTCAAGCAAGAAGGAAAGTAAAGAAGTCTAAGAAGAAAGTTAAAGATTATGATTATGATGCAGGCTATACACATTCAATGGCTACAACTGAGATGGACTTAGACGAGCATGAATTTTTACAAGATGCACTATCATTGATGAGTTAGATAGTTATAGGAAAATAGATTTGGAAGGAAATTTTGTTACCTTCGACGAACAATGCTATTGTTTGGAACTCTCAAAACTCATTGAAAAAAAAAAAACAAAGAACACAATATAATTTTTTAATTTTAAAAATGTAATGCAAGAGCTTTTAAATTTTTTATGTTAGTAATTATTCCATGTTTGTAGATATTTAAAGATGTATAAAAACACCTCCGTAAGGTTTATGTGTCAAAAGACATTTTGGTATGTGTCCGAACAAAGACGGACGCATCTAGAGGCCAAAAGTCACATTGTGGTCACCAAGGGTCCAGACCTCTGCTGGCCGCGACCAGCTATGCGCCGCGAGCTCGTACGAGCTTATTGGACTCGAAATCGAGTTCCGTTTTTCTTACTCGTCCCCAACTAACCCTTTTAGAGTTCTAGCATGAAAACTGCATAAGCAAGTCTAATTTGGATTATTCTAACATTCATCAAATAATAATGTTTTGTGAATTCAATAATATTTGAGTTACTTTTAATTGCTTCAACCTTACATTTATCACATATACAACTTGGAATTAATTTTTCATTCACCTTAAAATAGATTTAATAATTTTCCAAGTCTTCTACTTACGAAAAAATAGACCGTAAAATCGGTATAAAATCAATTATCCTATAAAATTTCCAGAACCATTACCACCACCATGAATCAGAATATGACCAGAAGTGTGAAGGATAATGAGATCGAATATGCCTTTTTCCATATGAGTTCTTACAAAGACCATTTCTAGCATGTTATTGAGTTTATTTTGTCATGCTATCAATGTATTTTTTTCCTCTTGCACCTCCCCGAATTCATAAATCACACTCTAATCTCTATTTTTTCTAAGATCAACAAGCTTGAGTTAGTGAGCCATTTTAGAACAGTTATCTTGTGCAATGTTGCTTATAAAATCATTGCTCATAAACTTAAAACAAACAATTTTGACATTAATGAATATGAAATAAAATGTAGCAAATAAATTGGTATAATATAAAACAATCAATTGATCAAATTAATTGGTTGTTATAAATAAGTAAATAGTTGAATATTTATTTTTTAAGATATATAATAATGATACTTTTTATCTCTTTATTCTATTTGTGAAATTATTGACAACAAACTTAAAAAATAAATAAATATTTTTTATTTAATTATTTATTTTATTATAATTTTAATGAAACAAATCATTCTGATTTTATTTTTTATTTTTAAATCAATCGCCACCTAAATTCCAATTTGATGACAAAAGACGAGAACAGTCGGAGAGCCGGAAAGCAGAGATCGTAGCAAGATTCATCCACCCTTGTCGCCAAGCCTTCCTCGTCAATAGTCCTCCTATGTAAGCAAAAGCCAAGTGGGGTTCTTGTTGTTTGGCAATATAAACAAACCCACCTTAAAAGTAATACCACTAGTTGCAGATAACAAAAGCGCCCCCTAATTCTTTCTTTTACAATATCCAACCAACAGCTCACACACAATCGCCATTAAAGCAAAAGCGGAGCCAAGAAAAAGCACCCCAAGCATTCATCAGTCGCAGCAGACAAAAAGACTCGCCCCCCACATTCTTTCCTTCTTCCTAGAGAAAAGCCAAAACGAAAAAGGATTTGCCCCACTTATTCATCAAAGTATCTCCCTTTTTTCTTGTATAAATACTTTCATCAACATGCCCAATAACGCTTTCCCCGAGCTAAATCTCTGCCGAAATAACCTCCCAAACGAGGAGGGCCTCTGTGCTGGTCGAGAAATTTTGCGTTTCGGAACGCAGAACGGAATAAGGATAAAGAAAGGTGCAGTCTTGCTGCAATTGAAGCCTAAAGGGGAGTTGGCGCTAGGATGGCGAGTTCGAGTGGGACCAAGGATGACGTGGGCCCACCGAGATCACTGTCCCGGAGGATTACGAGGGCGCCCACTATGGTGGACGCCACCGATGACAATGGGGCCGTGGACAGTGAGATTGTGCCGTCGTCTTTGGCCTCCATAGCACCCATCCTCCGTGTGGCCAACGAGGTCGAGAAGGAGAACCCTCGGGTTGCTTATCTATGTAAGGAACAAAGAGAGCCCTTTTTCAGACTGTGACTTAATTATGATCATTCATGTGAACTCTGTCTTTATTGCCTTTTTTCTATTTGGCTGAGAGGTGCCTAGAATTCTTTAGTGATGAACTAGAGATGGATATAAGAGGGTCATGATTTGTGAAGTTCCTATATTTATGTTCTTTTCTAAGGATCTTCACTGAAGAAGTATCAACTTTTATGGGTTATGTGATGTGATAGAAAGATTCCAGCTTTCTTGTTAACATGTGAGGAACTAGGTACAAGAGATCAAAAGGGTATTTGATGTTTTTTTGGTCCTGCTGGTCCAGAGATATTGCCATGTAGGGTGACCTGAAGCCTACAGCAAGCGGTTTATGCCTTGTGTGCTAGGAAAAGATTCCGGTTCCATATTAACTACAGAAAACTTTTCTTCATCCACTATTGCATTGAGAGTTTAATTTTGAACTGATTGTAGATGTGATATGTGAAGTTATATTTGAGTGCATGATTAGAAATATAAAATATTTTTTGTTGATTGGTAATTGTTATATGAATGGTTAATCAATTTTCAGAAAGAAAAATTGAAAATAAGAAATTATGTGATGAAAATGAAATAATGGTGCATCTTTTTGTCAGTTATAAAATTATGAATCTAAAACAGTTTCTGAAGTTGGTAATAGTTAAGTCCAGTTGCCAGTTGGGATTAATTAATATTCGTAGTAGGATGACTTGAAAATGCTAGGGAACACTGGGAAAAATGTAATTTTGGAAGAAAATAATCTGTAATTTAGATAAAATTTATACCAATGAATTCACTTTGAATATCTAATATCTGTAAACTATTCTATTTGAAGGAATTGTAGATGATGAGTCCCAGTAGATTTTCATAGCTCGTAGCTATAGTTTATAGTAACTCGCCTAGCACAAGGATAGTGAGTGGCAACTTCAGTTTAATGTGTACTGAAACTTGGAGATATACATTTGGATTACTTTTCTGCAGAAGGATCAAGAAAATGAGAACAAGATTTTGGATGTTGAAATGTGTAGAATGAGAAAATGGATTTTGGGAATGGAACATGCAAGGGCTATGTTGGATTTTATTTGTAGTTTCCATCTGTCTCCTACCATTACAGAATATGTTTTATGTGCTTTATGTCTGCATTTCGCTAATTAAGTAATTCCATATTGATTATTGACCATGTCTCTAGGCCTGATGATTCTTTAATCCAATGTACCAAAACAAAACACCATTAATTATTAGTTCAGAAGCTCTATATTGAAATAAATTTGAGATGGTCTTTTATCCACCGAATTGAACATTGGGGCCATTTCAATGTATGCTTCTCTATTTCTTAAGAAAAAAAAAAAAAAACAGAAGGAAATTCCTTTATTTCAGAAGAACTTGAGCCATCCTAGAAATTATTGTTCAATCTAGTAAAACTGTTTGGCCAGCTGTCTATTGCTTCTGGTGAGGGAAGATAAAAATTGTTTCAGGATTCTGGTGAAGGTAGATAAAAATTGTCTCAGGAACTTATTTACCATATTGTTTACTTGTAGTCTTGTCCTTCTCTAACCTGTCTTATTTCGAACAATGGAAAATTGATAAATGACGATAGGAATGTCGTTAGCTCATTCATCCATTTGGTCATCTCTCTGGTTTTAGATGGAAAGGGAGTCTGAAACTCTTACATTGATTGCTAACAAAATGAAAAATGATACAGTCGTTCAATGGTGATTACAAGATTTACTGTAAACATGCCACTGACCTTTTAAGGAGTTGAGTTCGGTTCACATCAAAAGATAAATAAAATGAATGTGCAGTATTATAGAAGTCGTGTGGCATCAATTTGAGCTGCTCTTCCTTTGTTACTCTTGTTATAATTTCATTCAAGTTGGAGTAGCATAATTCTAGAAAAGTTACACGGATTATGTTCTTCAATTATACTATAATCTGTACATTATTAGATTATATCAGGTTTATGATTTCAGCAATATCGTGCAATAATATTCAGTACTTGTATATCTCATAAGAATCCCAGGATTATTCTTTTTAATTATTGATTATTTCTGAACTAGGTCGCTTTCATGCATTCGAGAAAGCACACCGGATGGACCCGACATCAAGTGGGCGGGGTATTCGGCAGTTCAAGACATATTTACTACACAGACTTGAAAGGGTAGACCTGATGTTAATTTTGATATGTGTACTTGTTTTATCATCCTAATGTTTGCACTCTAGATGAAGGTATTTGAATTTGCTAACCAATATTTTTGTCTTTGGATCAGTCTGTGCTACCATTCTCAGTGTCTAATATATGCTTCTTATTGTTGTCTCCAAATTGAATCCTCAAGGACCTCTTGAACTTAATGTTTGCAGGAAGAAGAAGAGACTAAACCCATTCTTGCAAAAAATGATCCTAGGGAGATCCAGAAATATTATCAGATGTTCTATGAGAAAAATATCCGAGAAGGGCAATATACCAAAAAACCGTTAGTCTTTATGATCTCAAGCTATTGTTATTAAGAGTTATCATTTAAATTTAAATTTGGAATTTATCATTTGTCTCTGCAGGGAGGAAATGGCCAAGATCTATCAAATTGCGACTGTGTTGTATGATGTTTTAAGGACAGTAGTTCCTCAATCAAAAATCGACGAACAGGTTTGTTTTGTTCTGTTTCTCGCCCATACATATTTTAAATTAGACTTTCGGTAACACATTTAAGTTCTGTTTATGTGAACTATGCAGACTCAGAGATATGCCAAAGATGTTGAGGAGAAGAAAGAACAGTATGAGCATTATAATATTCTTCCCTTGTATGCTGTTAGCGTTAAACCAGCCATCATGGAACTAACTGAGGTTATCTTCAGAAGATTCTTGAAATTTTCAGCAATGTTGATATCTATAGACAAAATTTGATAAAAAAATTATCTGGTTTATATATATTTAATTTTTCCTTGTTTTCATAATCAGATAAAAGTAGCACTTCGAGCTATCCGTGATGTCGATAGTCTTCCCCATTTTCAAATTCATGAAGGAAAGGAGAGAACAGTAAATGATATTCTTGAGTGGCTTGCTTTACGCTTTGGTTTTCAGGTAGACTTTGAAATTGCTCACGCTGTTGTAACTGTTTTAAATTGTATCACCAACTTCTTCTGCTTTTTTCTTACATTGGCTAGATCCATTCAATTTACTGATAATATTGCAATTTTCAATTTTCTGTGTACTTCTATTTTTTCCTGATCTGAATATTCTTTAGATAGATCATCTTAGTTGTCTGTTGTTTTTCTTCCTGTGTGGGTGTTAAAAGAAAGGAAATGTAGCAAACCAGCGGGAGCACTTGATATTGCTTCTTGCTAATATGGATGTGAGATACAGGAACCTACAGAATTATGAGCATGTAAGTTTTTGTTTACTGTATGCGTAATGCAATATCTTCTTCAAGTTTACTACTGGTTGGCCTTTCTATTATTATATTGGGCAAGTTGATGACAAATTGTGGTGTAGTTAAATAGCAACACAGTTCAGAAATTGTTGGACAAGATTTTCAAGAACTATAGGTCATGGTGTAAATACTTGCACATTCCACCAAATCTGGAGTAAGTTCACAGCTCATTGATTACATTATCATCTCGTATGTTCGTGGGTCACAATGTCATTACATATAAATCTTTCTGGTTGTAGATGCCCTTTGGGTGATAGGAGGCAACAGTCACAGCTTCTCTACATTGGACTCTATCTCCTTATTTGGGGTGAAGCTTCAAATGTCCGATTTATGCCAGAGTGCCTATGCTATATTTTTCATCGTGTATGTTTTCTCCTAAGAACAATTAATCATATTTTGACACCTTTATATATGCAGTCAGTGTGTAACTAATGCTATGGATAACATGCTTTTTCCTTCTCGTTTTTTTTTTTGGCAAGTATATTATATCTGAAATTATATAGATACTGATACTTGGGGGGGCTTGAGTGTAAAGCCTCCCTCGGTCGTTATTTACAGCATGGCTATTGCTTCAGATCATTTTTATCTGATAGTTGTAGGGGTGGGTTTGGGTCAGACTTTTTTAAATTTCTTTTTTTTTTAAAAAAAAAAAAATCTCCAAATAGTTTATCGAATCCCATTATTTATTGTGTTCATGTCTGAGATGATACATGTTATTTGTTAAGAGTCAGTTTATTTTCTTATCAAGTATTTTACTTATCACAATTCACAGGACAGCAGTGGAAGTGTAATCTTTTATTGCTACTTCCTTTAACTATTTGAATAATGCTTGATATCTTGTGTAGACTTAATTGAGATGTTCCTCTCCGGAAGATCAAGTGCATTGTTTGTGAATTGATAAATTATCAAATTGTCAAAAATCCTTTTTAAAGCCATGTTGCAAACCAGTAAGTAAAATTGCATAGTATGTTGCTCCAAAACAAATTAGAAAAATATGAAAATGCTAATCTTGCATATGAGAGACCGATGCTACTCATTATATTCAGTAACGTCTTTCACCCTCTAGTTGCTTAAGCTTTCAGTTGAAGTATTTATTCAGTTACAACGGTTACTTTATGCTTCATATTGACTTGATTGCAGCTCTGCTATAGCTATATTATCATTATCATTACCTATTTTACTTTGCCTGTCTCCCAATGAGAAAAGCGAGTTCACTTATGTTGGCGATAATTATATACTTGTACAAGTTCCTTTGGCTTTTGTCATTTATTACTTAAAGTACAGTTCGATTCTTTTGTTTATTTCTGTCCTTAAAAAAATATTAACTCTGCAATTTTAAATTGTAGATGGCACATGACATGTATGGGACTTTGTTTGGCAATGTTCAACATGTCATAGGAGGTACATATCAAGCGGCTCCACAGCGCGAGGAGTCATTTCTCATGGACGTTGTGACGCCTATCTACGAGGTTATGCAAAAGGTATTTCGTTTGCCTTTGCCACTTTTAATCATTTGATTTGTTTGATTTCGTCCGTAATTCTCCTATTTTTATCCCTATAGGAAGTTTGGAGAAACAAAAATGGGAAAGCAAGCCACTCAGCATGGAGAAATTATGATGATCTGAATGAATACTTTTGGTAACTATATTGTATGGCAAGCTGTATTTCCTTTTCCTTCTTGCTGAGATGTCTGTTTTTGAGTGACTCATTATTTTGGCTTTCTCAGGACTAAAAAGTGTTTGAAGTTGGGTTGGCCATTAGATAGGAAAGCTGACTTTTTTGTGCATTCAGAGGTCATAAAGCCAGCAAACAAGGTAGGCACTGTTGTTTGTATGCACTATGCTGTTTGTGCCCACTTAGAAGGAAAATTTCACTGTGGATCTCTTATCGTGTATCTTTTCTTAGTGTTGAATTTTCCCTTTATCTTATCTCGAACTGTCCTATTCCAAGGTGATGTTTCTGTACAGAGGCTGCATTCGATGGATTAACTGTATAGAAAAACTACGAAACGTAGTTTCAGCTTTGAATGGCTTTCTTGTATTGAATCGACTTTTATTTTGTGATTGTATTTCTTATCTATTTTGAAATTTAGTAGGTATATGTACTGATTTAGATCATGTTTGCAGGGAAATAACCAAGCTGTAGGGAAGAGAAAGCCCAAGACGAATTTTGTTGAACTGCGTACCTTTTGGCATCTTTATACAAGTTTTGACAGAATGTGGATTTTTTTCATATTGGCTCTTCAGGTAACCTTAATTACGTTTTCCTTTATTTTTCTGAAATTCTGAAAGTGATAATGTGAATTATCACTGTAAGAACGTACTAATGGTAGTTGAATATACTACCTCCTTTTTTAAATAAATGTCGTTTTGACTTTTTTGATTCATCCATTTTGCTATGTATGTAGACATATTAATGTCTAGATACATAGCAAAATGGATGAATCAAAAAAGTCAAAACGACATTTATTTAAAAAAGGAGGGAGTATGATTTATTATTAGTGGTTAATATGTGATAAATGGGTCAGGGTAGAACTGATCCCTAAAAGCTAGCTCAAGCTAAGGGAGAGGGTTCCCACCACCTTTATACATAATAACAACCCAACAACTAATCAATGTGGGATAACATAACTTCCAACAAGAAAAGTAGGTATGGGATTGTGATACATGAGATTCAAAATGAATATTAACATTTTGTTTATATTTTAACATCTACGTTGTAGGTGCATTGAATCACCTCACTCAATATGAGAATATGATCTTCTAGAATTTCTTCATGGCAGTTTGCAGATTGACTTTTTATCAAGTGGTTATTGTGTTCAGTTGTCATTGACTCACTACATGTTGACCAGAGCTTAAGTTTGAGCCTGGCTGTGTGCTAAAAATTGTTCTATTCTCATTTCATATATTTCTTCATAAGAATATTTCTTAACCTTCATGTAGAGGTTTTTTTTTTTTTT